CTCTTCCTGGCACTCAGGAGGATGCGAGGGCTGCCTGCCACGACAAGGGTTACTCCTTCCTGACCATCGAGGATCCCTTCCTCTTCGATGACGTCATTCGCACTCTGAGGGACGAGATGCGTGAGTTTTTTCCTTGTTGTTTGTGTCGTACTCGGAACAAACGAAATATTTGCGATGCATATCCGAGCCTAAGCAGAGGAACACCTCAGTAACCAATGGGAAAATCCCCAGCCGGACTCCACGACTACTGGGTGGACGGCTCTGATGACAATGGCGACATGGCCTGGAGGTTCTCCGACGGCTCGGACATGCCTCTCGGGTCGCCCTTCTGGGACCTGGAGTACCACCGGCCCTCCGGTATGAATGCCAGCTGCGTGGCACTCCAGGGCAGTCGAGATTACTACTGGCGCAACTTCCCCTGCGACTACCTCAAGCCCGGCCTGTGTGTGTGTGGCGAAGGTCGGTCGAACCGTCCATGGTTGCACGAACAGTGAAGGGAAATCAGTTTAGAGATTTTTAAAGGAAGATATAACTCATTCTCTCTCTCAACACACTAATAACTTAACTAATTTCTCTGTTCCAGTGCCCCAGCCTCACATACCGTCACCGGTCGAGTGTCCAGAAAATAGTACCATTATTTTCGATCGTTGTGTGCTGATCCTTCCGTACCTCGTTGACGACTTCCAGGAGGCGCGGGACGGCTGCGCTGCCGAAGGAGGCGATCTGCTCAGACTCAACAACCCGGGCATCATGAGGGAGTTCTACTTCTTTGTCGAGGCTGATGCAGGTTTGTGACTGCGCGAATTGTCCTCGCTTGAATGGCGTCTATTCAGGCCGTTGGTGCAATGACTCCCGTTTAAGTGTAGAGATGATGACCCTTGACCCGTCCCTTTCAGGAAACTGGAGCGAAATTATCTTCGTTGATGGCCAGTTGAACGGAGGTGGAGAATTCGTCTTTAGTGACAATTCTGATGTGCCGATGGGTAAGGACTCCATTATGTGCTATCATACAAAATTGTATGCGTGCGTGGTCGCTTGTGTTTGTATGTGTGTGCAGGTACAGGCACTCTGTTTGTCTCTATTCAGGGTTTCTAGACTTTTGGCATCAAAGTTCCGTGACCTCATGACTTTCCAGATATAGTTTGTAGTTCTTTTCACATATTTATTTGCACATTTGATACATACATCACAATGCATATACCCCATTGCATTAATGTAATTTATGATTGATGTCAGATCTAAAAGATTTGAATAATGACTTGTGAGTGTGCTTTATTGACTATGTAGTTTTTCAACTTTTCATTCTGTCATCTCAATCTTCCGACGTTTATATTGATTTCTATCTGAAGACTTACAGAATAGAAAACTGTCAGACAAAAAAAAAAAAAAAAAAAAAAAAAAAAAAAAAAAAAAAAAAAAATCGCAAATACTATATTTTCGCGATTTTCCACTTGAAAACATTTTTTTTTTTTTTTTTTTTTTTAATGATATTCCCGGTCTAGAGATTTCAATTTCCATGATTCTCCGGGAGCATTGCGCTACTGCCTTCTTCCATCTTTCAAAGCACCTCAATACATCTGACTTCAGATATATATTCCTGAATCTGAGAGGAATGTACGTAAAATCTCGCAGTCATTACTATAGTATGAAGAGATGGGTAACGTCTTTGGAGCAAGTAATATTCCAGTTGTACTTTCCTTTCATTTAGTTGTGCGGTACACTTCGTTTACTGGGTCATACCTGGAGAGGCAGAGATTCAAATTATAGTCAGGCAGGGTTGTTACAAACACACACATGCGCAAAATACACACACGTATTTTTTCACACACACACACAAATGCATCTATTCACACACACACACACACTTATGTAGCTATTCACACACACACACACTTATGTAGCTATTCACACACACACACGTGCGTGTATAATTTTCGTTGATGTTAGTATCAGTGTATTTATCATTATCTTTTTTTTTTTTTTTTAACTCGTGTTACTATTAATATTATAAATGTTGCTTTTATTGATATCATGATGATTTTTCGTTATTAGTATGATGAGAATTATTATCATTATTATTACCATTCTCAATTCTAATGTTTTTGCCATTATCCTTTTGTTTCTACTAATGTCATTATTATTTTCATTATCAGCATTGCTATTACCACTCTAATGATTATGTTTATAATGAAGAGCAACATCATTATTGCTGTTTTCATCATCGTTACTATTCCTTGCAATAACCTGGCACACCTGAGCCCTCAGCGCTGACCCTTGTCTCTCGCCCTCAGGTTCTCCGTACTGGCAGGTCGGACACCCTACCGGGGAGGCCGACCACCTGCACTACTCTACTTTTACCTACTTAGTGAACGACGTGCCATGTGGTGTTGCTCCTCCTCCTCCTCCTCCTCCAACTACTACCTTAGCTCCGGTAGTGCCAGGGCCCCACGACCACAGGCCTACGGGACCCTTCCACGTGGCTTGCGAGGTGCCACCTGTC